TCTCTTACTAAAATTACAATATACAAATGCTTTTAAACTATGTAGTTGTATTCAAGGCCCCAAACTATAATGGTAATTGTCCTAATACACACACACACACACACACACACACACACACACACACACACACACACACATTACTTCATAGTTATGAAATATAGTTACTCATCTTAAATTATAAGTCATTAGAACATGGACTAAAAATTGCAAGGAGGCCCATTAAATTTCACTTCTCAATATAACTAAACATTGTGATGGCCATATTAGGTAGAAAGGCCTATTTCTTTCCTAAATGGTTGCTCATCAAACCATAGATTTTTGTTCAAGGCTAGTGCTCTACCACTTGAGCCACAGCACCACTTCTGGCTTTTTCTGAGGAGTTTATTGGAGATGAGTCTCACGTGGACTTTCCTGCCTGGGCTGGCTTAGAAACCAATCCTCAGATCTCAGCCTCCTGAGTAGCTAGGATTACAGGCATGAGCCACCAGCACCCAGCTCAAAAGTACTTTGAATGGCCCAAACACCCAAGAGGATCAGTGCCTGAATCCCTCTACATCACGCCTGAAAAGTATTTTTTCTAGTCCATGTTGATATTCATGAAATGACAAATGACTCTTCACTTCTCAAAACCTGTGGTTCTATTTCTAGATAATTTTGATCTTTAGCAAGTTCTTACAGTGAACTAAGAAATCACTCTCTCGGCCTTTTGGGAGCAAATATTTTACACTCTATTCCTATTCAAATAGCTTAAACTTCCATGTCACCTTACCATGGCATTTATGAAAGAAGACAAGAATTTCATAAGATTAGATTGTCAAATAATTGACCATTGCTGTTATAATTTTTGCATTTGCCTCATACAAGTGGTTAGACTGAACTAATGAGACCCCTGTTTTGTCCTGCCTTAATGGTGTTCAGGTTTTTGTAAAGTGAGGGTGTTGATAATCTATGATTTCTTTTCTACTCTTTAACCTCCATAGGAATGCTACGTGGGAAGACAAAAAACTCACTTGGTTTTAACAGATACCAGTAAAACCACCAAAAAGATCAAATAATACCTGTATTTCATATTGGAATAGCTAAGATGGGTTAAAAAATATCAACAAATATCTATAAAATAACATTATATATTGCACACCAATTGGATTGGTATTGAATAGGTTAATGAAAATGCAAATATAAACTCAGATAAGATGAGATTATTGCAATAACTTTAGTTTTAATTCATATAAAACTTTCTGACATTTGCACATAAGAACTGAACAACAAGACAGATAAAAGGATTCTTATGTAAGCAGAGCTGAGAGCAAGAACATAGTCCCATTACTGCCTTCCGGAATGTTTAGGCATGAAAATATGCACTGTAAATTAATAGCATTCTCCCTTACAAAAACGAATATGGGTTTCTTTTTTCCATGCACCATCTAGCATAAAGACAACACTCATTAAATGTTGAATAATAATGAAGCTCCACTGGAGAGTTTAATTTTAAGAAGTACCAAAAACCAGGTTCTAAAAGATTTAGAATACAATGCCTTTATTCTCAAAACCTAAAAACAATGGCTGCAGTTCGTGTGATATAAACACATGGAGACCCAGGAACAGAAATTCTGATTCTAATTGTGTGTGTGTGTGTGTGTGTGTGTGTGTGTGTGTGTCTGTTTAAACACACAAACTCATGTACATGTACCAACAACTTCCAGTCTAAGTTCTGCAAAAAATTACATGGTCTATATTTCTATTCATGATTTGTTTTCCTCCGGATTTCTTTTTTGGGGGGGGGGGGGCAGGGGGGAGAAATCCGGTCATGGGGCCTGAATTCTGGGCCTGAGAGCTGTCCCTCAGCTCTTCAGCCACTCAGCTCTTCAGCTCAAGGCTAGCGCTCTACCACTTGAGCCACAGCACCACGTCCAGCTTTTTTCTTTTTGCTTATGTGGTGCTGAGGAATCGAACCCAGTGCATGCAAGGGAAGCACTCTACCACTGAGCTACCTTCCCAGCCCCTCCTCCTGATTTCTTTTGGGGCCTCATGCAGTATTTATTTTGCACATGTCCCTAACAATTGAGCATACCATTTGTGGATAGCAGTGCTGCTCACCAGTTGTGTTTTATTGACAAGAAAAGTGAAGTTAAGACCTCCCCAGGAGTTGGTCACCCATATCCTTTCTTTGGATCTGTTTGGGGCCATGATTGCTTAGTGATTGAACTCAAGTGCCAAGTCCCTTTTACAAAAACCTTACATTTTTTTCATAAGCTACAGAAGTCTCTCTATATAAATAACACCCTCTAATGAAGAAAAAAGCACACATGTGACCTTCATGCTTATGTTTCTTAAAAGAAAATCAACTAAGGACTCCAAAGAACATAAGCACTCAGTACTATAAAAGCAGTAATTTCATTTATGGAAGCATTTAGTTTATTTGTTTCTCAATTGTGCTGGGAGTAGAGGCCACACCATTATGAATGTAGAGAGAAGATTTGCCCCCAAAGACATGCAGAACATCATTTGTAGTTGTCTAGGAAACTAATTATGGAATATTTTTGTCAATAAAATTGTCTTGTAAGCTAAGACTTCAATGGGACCCTATGAGACATAACAGGGGAACAAAGCATAAAGTACGGGACAAGGATCAGGCCCTCACTTGCCACGGATTAGAGGTTAGTGACTGCTTTGTAAGGACACTCAAGCTGAAGATTATGTAATACATTTCACTATAGATAGAAAAGCATGTGGGGCAATCACTTCTCCAAGGCAAGGATAGGCAGTTCCTCTGGGCATGGTATTCTCTACTGGGCAATGAAAGGGTTTTAGCTAAGCATTTCCCAACAGGTAATCTAAGCACTCAAGATAACCAAAGTGGAATATTCTCTCCCCTCAGAATGATGCTGTTTCATAACAGAACACTTAGACTGACTGATTTTAAATTCATTGCTTTGACTTCATATAGGTTACTTTGGAAGTGAAAAGTGGGTACTCATAACTTGAATTTGTCTTAGCATTTTTCAAATTGTTTTCAGTGATTTTTTAAAATGAAGAATCACTTTCAGGGTGTCCATATTCTCCCCCAGGCAAAGACTATTACTAATAAAATGCTCAGTTCCACCACAATACTAAGTGTTACTCCCTTTATTTTGGTAAGTTCTCTATTTTAGCTTTTAGGTGTACCTTGATGTGAAAAAAAATCAGTGTGCAAGCCAAACATTCTTTTCTTGAGATAGCTCATAAGCATCTGGATAAATTTGCATTAGAAATTCAATTAACTTTATATTAGGAGGTCAATTAACTGGGCCATGATAGGGATTGTTTTTTAATTACTTTTCTTTGTAAGGCTTCTTTTCTTGTCCAAGCATGAGTGACACTATCAAATCATAGTCTCATTGCCCGTTGGCTACTTGAGACCCATATGCAAAAATTGGAAATGACTATCTTGGTTAAGTGAATTAATAAGACGCTCTTTGGGTAGTTCATCACTATTATAATCCTGTGGGCTTATAGTATCAGTAAGCAATAATGGAGTGTTTTAGCTTAAACACTCTCTATAGTATTATTCGTGACAGTATCCTTCTTTATTTGTTCTCTCTAGTTTCTATTTTCTTGGTGAAAGATGATAATAAAATGAAATGATTTTAAGGATTAGTTCTTATTACATTATATCACAGTGTATTTTATGAAAAATGAACAAATAATGACATCATAAACTAGCTATCCAATTTCACCAGAGGGCTCTTCATTTGCTTTGTGTTAATATGGGCCACAATTCAACTCATTCATGTGGCACTGAAACACTTGTACTTAACAGACTAAAGGAATTACAACTTAGCACTAAGTCACAATTGGCAGTGTACTCTCCAAGTGGTGACCATAATTAAGCCAGCAGGTAGACAAAAAACAAACAAGAAAAAGAAAACAAACAAAAAGAGGACCCAGAAACAAAAGCCTGAATAGATAACATTTACCTGTCTTGTAAAACAATATTTTAACTGAAACATACAGATGAAAATAAATTTAAAGGAAATACCAATTCTTGAAATAGAACTTTGTGTTTGATTTTTGCAGAAAGGAATAGCCTTTCCCTTATAGAATAATCACATGATATTCTCATTATAATCCTGTGAGATAAGACTCAATGCTCCTATTTCACTGATGAGCAAATTGCAGTTTTTGTCTCAGCCAAGGCTATATGTGCAATTTCATTAAAGTATTAACTCTAAGTACAATAATACAAAGGAGGGTAGTGTAAATGTTTTGAATGGTTAGAACACAGTTCCAGAACTCAAATAGAGAAAGGGAGGTTGAGGCCAATGTAACTCAAACTGGGTTCACAATTAGGTAAATTAATTATGTCATTCAGCAAACTTTTACCCCAAAGTGAGTCTTTCTCAATGAAGTGTATATGTAGCAACTGCATTCTGGTGAATATTTCAAATCCACTCATGGACCAATAACAGTCAACAAATAAATAACCAGTCTATAGGCCTTGCTTTAAATGGCACAAATTTAAAGACCTTATGAAATTTTCCTTTTCTATAAATATTTAAATTATTGTTGATAAAGATAAGCTTTAATATTATCTTGTTTTTCTATTCATAAAAAGAATAAAGTGGGGCTGGGAAGAGGCTCAGTGGTAGAGTGCCTGCCTTGCATGCATGAGGCCCTGGGTTCGATTCCTCAGCACCACATAAGCAGAAAAAGCCAGTAGTGCTGTGGCTCAAGTGGTAGAGCAGGAGCCTTGAGCTGAAGAGCTAAGGGACAGCATCCAGGCCTAGAGTTCAAGCCCATGACCCGCAAAAAGAAGGAATAAAGAAGCCATATCTTAAAGTATACTACAAATAAATATGAAAATTAATATCCTAAACCCTGTAAATCCTTGGGGGCATCAATTTTAATTATAATGATCTATTCCAAAAACTAAAGAAATCAGCAAGCAAAAGAATAATTAACATAGCCATGAAATAGCATATTTTCAGTGAAATATATATTATTGGGTATATTATACATACCTGCACCTCCGCCTATGCTCAGAATCTTAATTTCTGACTTTGAGTCTCCAATACTGAAAAAAGAAAATCAGACGATATAAGAAAAAAAATGTTAGGTGTTTTTCAAAATCTGATTATCAAATCTATTTAAAAAGAACAGTACTAAAACTCTAATGAAGTGAAACGAGGCCAATAAAATTCTCCAGTCATTTCAGTGATTATATGACTGTCTTTAGGATATCCTTAAAGTATAGATTCCATTCTTAACTGTATTTACTTGGGAGACTTAGAAACAGTCCCATGAACAGCTCATAATTAGGAAATCATGTTTGTTTAGAGATTGTTTGGAGACTACAGACAGAAAATGTGGGCATTTGAGTGTGGTGGTATGAAATGCCATTCATTATAAATGGCGATAGGTCAATAATGACTTTACTTGCTATATATTTATTCTAGCCATTGAGTTCCACAAGTGAATAACATACTACTTCCTCTCCATTTAAAATGTGAATTCATAGAACCCTGAATTTGTTTTAGTAATAGAATCAGAATGGATACATAGGCTGAGAAGTAAGTAATAGGGCTTGTTTATAGCTAGGTGTGAAGGGGTCAGGAAAGTGTCCACATGCACAATGATGACTGTGGGTTCAGCTTGGATACCTCGGCAAGAGGTGGTTCCAGAAACTTGATTATATAGTGTGATAAGCAAGGTTTCATTTTATCTGGTTTTTAAAAATGTGAACTCTGCAGAAATTTGTATGTGTAAAATTTCAGCTGGGTTTAAGAGAGAGCAGGGTCAATTACACATTCTAGGGAACTATCATCATAAGGCAGTGGTCAAAAACAGGAGAGTGTACTCCATCATCCAATGATATTGCCACATAAAAGAGTAGTGGGAAGGTGAAACAACACCACATTTTAGGTCACTGAACTTCAAGGACCACACAAAAGAGACAGAAAAAAATGATAAAGTTTGGAGAGGCACTGGGCAATGAGAAGCAGGGATAAGCAACTGTAGTATTCAAGAAAGCAGAGTACACTACTAAACAAATGGGGAAAAAAACTCCACTGAAGTTGGAAGAATAAATATATTCATTAAAAACAGTTTGAAAAGAAAGATTCAGACCAATATATGAAAGAAGGATTAAAAATGACCTTGATAAGAGGGGGGAGAACTAGAGACTGTTGGAAAAAGATGAAAGTGAGAAGGGAATAGATGACAAGTGGAAGGGAAATGGGAACTGGAGAAACAGTGTCTGTGTGTTTGGACTGTGAGGTTGTTGCTGAAATTAAAGATCTTGCACAGAGTACCAGGATGAAGACAAAAGTTGAAGCCTGGTTTTGAGGAAACTGGGAAGGCTAGAGTCAAAGATACCAATGAAAAACCTGTACCCCTTGCCAATGTTCTAAATTATATTCCGATTCATAATCATAAACTTTAGTACATCATCATCTTCTATCTATACCACTTATTCATTTGTAAAAATGGTCCTGTAGCTAGTGTAGGAAGGCTACAATGCAGAACACAAATTGGGGTGTGTGTGTGTCTGAGTGTATGTGAGTATAGAAGGTACATTCAGACAGCACAGGAATATTTTGTAATAGATAAGAGTAGTATAATGGTGAAAAGTATACTATACAAAGGAATATTTTTAATATAGTAACAAAAATATCAATAGTCAGCTGACAGATAACATAGAACACTGAAAATATATTTTAAAATAGAGAAGCAATCTAAGAGGTCTTATGGTTGATGAAGACAATTTAAAAAAAAGAAAATTGTGGAGAAGGATGATCAGATAATTTTGAAGTTTCTCTGGAGAATCTGAATCTTAACTGAGCAGCCTAAGGAGTATGAGCAAAAAAGTGGGTGAAAAAGATCTACTGTACAACTCAGAATAGTATAGTATTAAGATAAAGAGGAAATCCTAAAAAAAATTCAAAGTAAGGTCAACAAAACCAACCAAAAGGTTTTATTTATATAAAAATAGCTCTTTTGAATAAACACTAGATTCATTAGATAGTAGCTAAATGACAATTTAAAAATATCATTAAATTTGTGATATAAAATCATTTTCAGTACAGAATTTTATACCTAGTTAAACTGTCTAATAAATAAAGGCATTTTTTTTAAAACACAAAGCCTCAAATAGTTTGCCTTGTGTTTACCCTAAGCCCATATACTATTACCTCAAAAAAATGGTAGGCTGAAGAAATGAAGAAAAATAAAACACCCAACATCAAGAAAATATATGAAAGAGAAATAAGAATTTCAAAGTAAATGAAAAAAAAACCTCATTAATAGCTGTGAGGCCAACTAAAAGCAATTTTTTTCAACAGAGCACTCCAGAATTTTTATTTTACATTTTCCAGTCATGAGGCTTGAATTCTTGGGCTGGACCTCAGCTCTTCAGCTCAAGGCTAGCACTTTACCACTTGAGCCATAGTTCTACTTCCAGTTTTCTGGTAGTTAATTAGAGAGAAGAGCCTCACAGACTTTCTTGCCTGGGCTGGCTTTGAACCATGATCCTCAGATCTCAGTCTTCTGAGTAGCTAGGATTATAGGCATGAGCCACCAGCACCTGGCCAGAAAAATGTTTTCACAGTAAAAAACTATATAGGTCACTTACATATTTGAGAGGAGATTAGTACAAAAGGAAATATATGTGATATATTGACAAGAGATTAGTACAAAAGGCAACAAAGTAAGTATAGATATTACTAAGTTCTGAATTATATGTACTAGGAAAACTGGGCACACACCAGTATTTTAATCAAAGTTTTTGGCACAAATAATGCAATTGATAGATGAGAAAGATCTGTTTTACTTAGTTAATTTAATAAGCAGGTTATTTAGAATTATGAAAGGAAATAACATAAGAAATATTTTTGAAGGTTGAAAATGATTGTTTCTGGATAGTGAAAGTCAGAGCTAGAAAAGAAGGGACACTATTCGTTGTAGTTATTGTTGTTATTTTTTAGAACCATTGTTTGTTTGTTTGTTTCAAATATGAAAACATCTTCAGCCAGGCTCATGCATATAACCCTAGCTATGCACGAAGCAGATATCTGAGGATTGGGGGTGGAAGCCAGTCCTAGCAGAAAAGTCTGGGAGGCCCTTATCTTCACTAACTATTAAAAAAAATAATAAAGCCAGAAGTGGAACTGTGGATCAAGTGGTAGAGTGCCAACCTTGAGCAACAGAAGTTCAAAGACAGCACCCAATCCCCAGAACCAACCAGCAGCAAACAACAACAACAACAACAAAAAAATGACAACAAAATGAAAACCATCTTCCTTTAATAAAAATATTAAGTGGCAACCATTCCCAAATAACAGTGAGGTCCACACACAATTAGCACAGCAAACCACTCCCTCAGCAAAACCTGCCCTTGTAGGTACAATGATATTCTGAACCACTTTTTAGCATCTCATACACATGAACACCTTCAACCAAAAAACAGAGGACTTTTAGCTAAACCTAATTTTAAACATTATTTTCAGGAAATAACCCCACACTCCCTTCTTAAAGGTTGACAATTTGATTCAAGTATTTCTATTACCATTATAATGCAAATTTAGTTATAACTTGGAAAATCAATCCATCACGAATTTTACATTCCAGTTAAACTAGATATGCTTAAACTGGGAAGAGGGCATCCATGATTCCCTATGTTACATCCATCCATGATGTCTCTTTAGACTCAGCCTTATGGCTGAGGAAAACTAGGGACTTCGATAAGCTATAGAAATAAACAAATTCTCTTACACTTGGAAAAGAATAGGGAATTAATTTGTTACCTTTAAGTTTAGAAGTAAGTAAGTGACACAATGAGGTAAGCTATAGTTTCTAGATCTGGGTTTGATTTTTTTTCTTATAGCCAGCCTAATGCATGTTAATTGTTCATATATTACATAATACTCTGGGGTTCTTTTCAGAAACTAATATTTTCAAAACAAGCTGTGTAAATTTTTTAAATTTAATTTTTTAATTAAATTAAGGAAGACTGTATGCAGCCAGCAGTGTTTATTTATTCTGGCTTGGGAAAACATTCCACGCCTACCAAAGAGAAATTTAGCAAAAGATAAAATATCAAGTTTCTCCTCCCCCTCTCTATTAGATGGAATGCACAGTCATTCATTTCTTCCCAGTTTCCATCATTATTTCCTGAAGCAGAGGGAGTTACAGCAATTCATCTCCAGTTAGGTGATTTGATTATCTTTAGCATGTGGAATCTGTTATTCTCATAATGCTTATCAGCTCAGGCACAAATTGAACACATTAATCACAGAAGAAGAAAAAAAAAGGGAGTCTCCTGAGCAGGCTAGAAACAGTGAGTTTCACTGATAATGGAGAAACTCTATTTTTTTAGGTGCCACGTTGCTAATATAAAGTTGGAAGAAAAAAAATCTCATTCTTTCGGAGAATGATAGCTATAATCAGAGATAAATAAAAATGAATTGAAACAGATACTACGAGAACCTAGAAACATCCACTCAATCCTTAGAAGCAGATAGCATACGGCAATTATTTACATTTTCTTCACATGAAATGAACACTCCACTCCATTGGAGGCTTTTTCTTTAATGTCATATTTGGAGAAGGGTAGAACAGTCTGGAGTTGAAAGCTTTGTATTTTATCTTTCTCCCCCCCCAAAGGAACATGGAATTGGGCCTGCAAATGGTTAATAGTTATCTCTGTGCAGCTGGAAAAGCAGCCCAAGTCAGAGCTCTGGATGTTTAAAGGGAAAGTGTGACCCAGAGCTGCAGGAGGCCTCCGGGGAGAGCGGGAGGTGGGGCTGGTGCAAGCTGCTGTCAGTAACTTGCCCTTATCCCTGCGCCCAGCCCCTCACCCACCCCCAGCGCTGGGCTCGACCTATCCATCACCCAGGCTTGTCCCTTTGACAAAAACGGCCCTCTTTGTTACCTTGCTATTATGCCGGGCAGCTTCTTGTCCAAGAATTCCTGCATGCACTGGTGTTCCGTGGAGCTTCGGAGAAACCTCCGAAAAGATTCAACATATCTGCTGTGGTCAGAGAACAAGCTCCTCATGGAAGATGCCATATTGAGTTTTCTAAGGAACCCTGGGAAGGAAGCAACGTTTAACTTCCTCTCCTTCTCTTCCCAGTTCCCCTTTTTTTTCCCCACCCCCACCAGTTTCTGTCCAAAAAAAAAAAAGCCAAAAAGAGGCTGAGGACGCTTTAATTTTGAGCATGCTCCCAGAGCTGGGCAAAGAACAAAGTCGGTGTTTGCACAGGACTTTTTGCTTATAATTTAACCTATATGCAGATGTTTTGGCTTGGTTATGTTTGAAATAATTTATGAGAAACAGAGGTCATAAAGCAACCCAGGGAATCCAAGGATAAAACTTGCTTTAAAAAACTCTTGAGGTTGGGAAAGCCAAGAAAGCAGATTGCATGCAAATTACTTCCTGTTTTGTCAGCCTTGGCAACAAGTAAGTTCCAAGTGGAAAAGTGTTCTTTTATGGAACAGGGAGCCAGAGAAAAACAATAATGGGGCTACCTTTCAGAGACCTACTGCAGCTGGAATTGAGACAAAAGTGTGTCACCTGCCTCAGCATGACACATAGAGGGCCCAGTGTGCAAGTTCCTCACCACTGGCCCTTGAAACTCATTGCTGCATTTTCTGCAAGTACCCATGGCTTCCTCAGCACTAAAGAAGACTCTGAAGTCTTAGGGGAGCTTGAGAACTCAGGGCTGGAATGTGGCATGGAACCTTCCATATTTCCTTCAAAAGAAGTAAATACTCCTGGGGGAAGTTTCTAAGTCTCTTGCAAGTTTCAAAACTTTCATCCTTGTGTGATAACCATTTAAGATATTGTCTTAATTTCCTTTCTAAATCACTTATGATTATTAATGCATAAAGACAGGGAAGGAATGGCAGCAACTGCACGTGTTAGGTTGTCCACCATAGATCTTCAAGTTTTGTTTTGTTTTTGCGCAATTATTGAAAATGTACTTGCACAATTCTACCACTGAAATGTTCTTCATCACTGGGTACTCTACGTCACTACTGGCACTACTAAGTTAATTTACTGAGTCTATGTATTAGTAATATTAGTAGCATAATGACTGCTTTCAAATCTAGTGCCTTACCTCCATGAGCTTCTTTACAGTGATGATGAGAACACTGGAGTTTTGAGAAGTTGAAAATATTGCTCAAAGATTCCACCCCAAAAGGGGCAGAGCTGACATATAATATCAGGCTGTGAGACCCTAAGATCAGTGTCCTCAGAAAATTCCTTATATTCAGCCACAAGCTGTCTCATTCACAGTTTTGTTCCTTCCCCAAACAATACTCATTGAAAAACTTGAAATTGACTCTTAAGCTTACTCCCTAAGGTATCTCATCCACAGCTCTTAATTGTTTCTTTTATAGTGTACTTTTATAATTATATTACTCTTGTCTCATTCTAAAAGATTCTAGTTTGTCTGGGATCCTTGAGGGGAAAAAAAAAAAAGAATGGTTCTTGAAAATAAGCTAACCATGTCAAAAGCTGTTTAACCAGTGGATGTGTCACTGTCTGGGTTAGATATTGTTTCTCAGTGTTTTATAAAACCAAGTTCTGTAAGATTTTTTTACTATAGATAATGGGTTCCATAGTCAAATAACTTATACAATACTGTCTTTAGTATTTTCCTGTTGGTCTACAAAATGCACATTACTGCATTAAAAGTTTTATAATCTCTTGATATACAGATACATAGTATGCCATGATTTTTTTTTTTTTTTTTGGTCGTGGGGCCTGAACTCTGGGCCTGGGTGCTGTCCCTCAGCTCTTCAGCTCAAGGCCAGCACCCTACCATTTGAGCCACAATGCCACTTCCGGCTTTTTCTGCTTATGTGGTGCTGAGAAATCAAATCCAGGGCTTCAAACATGCAAGGCAAGCGCTTCACCACTGAGCCACCTTCTCAGCTCCCGTGATTTTTTTAAATTCATCTTTCAACTCCTAAACTTTGTCTTAACAAAAGGAAGTCTTGCTGCTTTCAACATGACTTGCATTTGATTAGGTGCTGGTTTTAGCAACCACAACTTCCTTTTAACATTTTATATAGAATAGGTCTTATTACCTATAATCTGTCTGGAATTCTAATGGGATTAACACATTTAGCTGCTTGATTACAAATACCAAAGTCTGTGAACCCTCCTTTCCCTCTCTTTTGAAAATTGGCCCTACAAATTAGCATATCTATCATTCTCACTGGCTTGTCAAAGATTACAGGTAATGACATCATTATTGTTTTTACAAGGTTTTTGTCTGTTTGTGTGTATGTATGTTGTTTGTTTTGGTCAGTCAGGGAGCTTGAACTGAGGGCTTGGGATCTGTCCCTAAGTTTTTTCACTCAAGGCTAGTGCTCTACCAGTTTGAGCCACAGTGCCACTTCTGGTTTTCTGGTGGTTAATTGGAGATAAAGGTCTCATGGACTCCCTGCCCAGTCTGTCATTGAAGATCCTTAGAGCTCAGCTTCCTGAACAGCTAGGATTATAGGCTTGCACTACCTATGCCCAGTGTTTTTTTGTTTTTGTTTTGTTTTTCTTTTTTATGTATATTGGATGTAATACTTATAGACATGAAAATTGCAGGTTTTTAACAATACTATTTATTTTCTTATCTACTTGGTGTTTTTTTTTAATTTGAATTTTATTGTAAAGGCAATGTACAGAGAGATTACAGTTACATAAGTAAGCCAATAAGTATATTTATTTTTGAACAGTGTTACCCTCTCCCTAATTTTCTCCCACACTCTCCCCCCTTCCTTCCAACAGTGTCTAATGAGTATAACTGTTGAATTGGTTCACCCTTTATCCCATTTCTGTGATTCGTTTTCCTTTCCCCAAATCAGATAAATGTATATACAAGACAAATGTTATTGAAATCAAGAACAGTGACAACACGGAATAAACCAAAGGGGCGGGGAAGAGAAATAACTGCAAACAGTACAATTAAAAAACCTCTTGTTTCCATTTCTTGGAGTTCATTTCAATAGGCATCATTTCATATGGTCATATGCACATATCTATTGAGATATTTTGATCCTCTTCTAGGAATATCTTCCTATGTTCTCACTGTACAATACTTAGACTGCTGTTTAATTAATCATGTCCAAGTCAAAAGAAATGCCCAATATCTTCGGCTATAAAAGAAATACAAATCAAAACATTGGATTTCTACCTCACCCCAGTCAGAATGCCCATTGTCAAGAAAACTAATACTGGGATGTGATCAAAATGGAATGCTACTATACTCTTGGTGGGAATGTAAACATGTTCAACCATTCTGGAAAGCAGTATGGAGGTTCCTCAAAAGACTAAACATAGGGCTAATTATCCAGCAATACCACTCCTGAACATTTACCCAAATGACCATAAACCAGGCTGCACTAAAGTCACCAGCACAACCATGTTCATTGCAGCAGTATTTACTAGAGCTAAGATATGGAATTAACCCAGATGTCCCTCAGTAGATGAATGGATCAAGAAAATGTGGCATATATACACAATGGAATTCAATTCTTCCATCAGAAAGAATGACATTGCCCCATTTGTAAGGAAGTGGAAATATTTGGGGGAAATTATATTAAGCAAGTAAGCCAGACTCAAAAAACATAGTTTCTTTCTGCATGATTTCATTTGTAATAACTAGAGTGTCTATAAATGTATATGTTACTGCAATGGATAGTAAATGACAAATAAAATTACACTCGGACATATTAAACAGTACTCTAAGCATCTACTTGGTGTTTCTATGCCATATTATTTATCATGTATTAAGTTGTTACTGTCTAAGTGCCTTATATACATTATCTCATTTAATACTCTCGGGGCTGGGAAGGTGGCTCAGTGGTAGAGCGCTTGCCTTGCATGCCTGAGGCCCTGGGTTCGATTCCTCAGCACCACATAAGCAAAAAGAAAAAAGCCGGAAGTGGCGCTGTGGCTCAAGTGGTAGAGCGCTAGCCTTGAGCTGAAGAGCTGAGGGACAGCGCCCAGGCCCAGAGTTCAGGCCCCACGACTGGACCCAAAAAAAAAAAAAAAATACTCTTAACACACCAGGGATGGATCTATTGATATTATCAGGTAGTATTCAATATATAAGTTGCAAAAGATTACAAGGTTCTTTAAGAATGGGGATCTCAATTTGTATTTGGTGTCATGATCATTTTGTTTTGGTTTGGTTTGTTTGCTTTTTTTGAAGCAATGTCTTGCTATTTAGCCCAGACTGGTCTCAGATGTATGATCCTTATCTCTCTGCCTCCAAAGGCTGGAATTATAGGTGTGTGACACCATATCTGCTCCCTCCTATCTTTTTAATAGTACAATACTACCTTTCACTATCTAATACATTTCTTATATGGTACCTTATATACATATACATATACATATAGTATATGCTAACTATATATGAGAATTAAATAATTTGAGAATTAATAATCCAAAGATCCAAAAGAGTCTAGATGCCCTTCCATGCCATAGGAGGAACTGGACAGCAATTTTTAAAGTATATCCAGCAAAAATATTAGGAGGAGTAAAGGAGGAATGGGAAAATGGAGTAGGTGAATTTATTCAAAGTGCACTATGTGTACGTATGGAAATAATGAAACTCTCATACTACAAAAGTATGTTAATTCAAAAATAAAAGTCAAACAATTCAAAACACAAAATGAAATACAACTCATTAAACAAGCTTTGCTTAAGTATCTATATTACAAATCATGCACACTTCTTGACCAGGAACTATCTTTGGAAGTTTATATGCTTAAATCTCAACCTCCTGAATAGCTTGGATTACAGATATGAGCCATTAGCACCCAGCTGCATATCTTTTGATGGATATATGAACTCAGTTCTGTTATCATGAGTATAATTATTATTTTATAGCATAGGAAATGGCTAGCTCTAGAAAAAACTTTTTTTAAAAAAAGTTTGTGTTTGTCCACAAACACCATTAACATTTAAGAGTGTCAAATGCTCCGTATGCTTAGAAATTATTTGTAACTCTCATCACTTTGTTTTATCATTTGTATAGGACAATATCTATACATTCCATGAACAAAACTGATTAATTTATATTTTATACATTTATCTAGTGGTATAGTGGACATGACTGTTTAATTTCAGAAATATTGTATGTGATTGATACCTATAGCTTAAAATAAGC